CCCCAAAACCCCAAAACCCCAGAAGTCAAAGTAAGAATAATTATTGTGCTAAATTTTAAATTTCAAAATTGAAAATGAATAAACATCTAGTTGACATGAGTGTTAGTTCTTCTTAGAAATAACAAAAACCTAGAGGTGCTGGTACGTCTGGTAGAAAGCCAGGAGATTTCGATGATTCAAGGTCAGATGTCTCTTATATAAGCTCTTAGAATAGCTATATGGGTTAAGGAGTAACATATCAAAACCAGAATATTAATTAATCAAATCTGTCTTCAGCCTTGAAGCAAGCTCCAGTATTTTAGAATCATTCCCAAAGTCAATCAGATTTATCATCAAGCATGTCCCATATTTCTTATGAAGATGGATTTTAAAATGCAGAGTATAATGCTATCACTGAAGAAGAAAGAGCTAAAAGAAGAAGAGATGAGAAAGAATAGAAGCTTAGAGAATTTTAAAATAAAACTAAGTAAAAAGCAGCAAAATAATTGCAAGAGTAGCAGAAAACTCAAAAATAAGCAGAACTAGAAGCATAAATGAAGGAAAAGGAAAGACTCATTAAAGCCAAAGACTATGCCGAAAAAATTAGAAAGAACACCTTGAAGAAATCAAACTAAAATAATAGCAATATCAGCAACATCTAAATACTAAGTGAAGACCCAGCTGGCGCTCATACTAATTACCATGCTTAGATTAAATAAGAGCAGATTAACAGAGGAAATAATGATCTTTCAGAGGTGATTCAAGAGGTGTCAGAAGTTGATGAACAAGAGAGATCAAGACTTTTACTGAACCAGATTAATTCTAGATCATAAGCCATATTATAGACCTAAGCTGCTCTTGATTAACAATAAATCCTTGATCTAAGAGAGCTTTATTAGCGAATTGATTAAGAGGAATTAGAAAAAATTGGAGTTGCCGATAAGTAAACTTTAACTGAAGAAGCCATTCATGATTTACATGAATACTCAATGCTTTAAAGATTCAGATAGAATAGAGACTTTAGATAGCCAGATAGATATGTAGCCTAATAGAAAACCACAAAATAAGCTAACTATTATTCCTCATAAGCAGATAAAGAAAATAAATGGTGGCTGCAATAGTAGAATGGCATAACTGAGTAAGAATTAAAGCAAAAAACTGAGAAGACTCGTTATCTTAAGGCTTTGAAAGCCCTAGTAAAGGAGAAAGGTGAAAAGTTAGATGGAGGCGAGATACCTAATCTCTGCAGCTGTGGGGCTTTAGGAGAAAATTTACAGAGCATGAAAAAAGGTGCTGCTAAGACTTTAGTACAAATGTGCGCTAGTAATTGTTAATTCTATAAAAATGAGAAGGATTATGAAAAGGCACTTAAGGATATTTTACACAGTCTTAGCTTATTCAAGTGAAATATTATATAGATTTTTAATGGTTAACTTATAAATATTTTTAAGTTTAAATACAGGTTGTAACTATCGCCACACATATCTATGTATCTATCTATTTATTGAACTTAGCTAAAATTTGATCATTGAATATGCAACAACTTTAATCTAAGAATTTTCATTCGTGTCTAGCTATAAAACTCTTTATTAATTCATAAGTTCCCCAAGAGAGAGCTGTAGATGGCACATTAATGCACATCCTCGGTCCTACTCCTTTGGTAAATGCACTAATCCCCTCTGTTTTATAAATCAATTTAATTGTCTATAGAAAGTCCCTATATCGTACTTTCTTCAACTCAAAACCACATTCCTAAGTAATTTTATCTGCTTTATTTCTGTTTATTTCATCTAATTTCGTTGCATTACTGTATTTATGCTATTCAACCTATGAATCCCACATATCCCTCAGCTTTTAACAGGATGGCTTAATTTCCTAAGTCTAAAGTCTAGTCTTTACAACATCAAGAGGATTTGTTACCAGTCCTGCTAGTCCTCCTGCACTACCTGCGCACACAAAATACCAGAAATAGGGGTTAGTTGTATTCCATGGCTTCACAAATGTCTTTAGATTTTCGTTAACACAAACCACAGTTGTGGCAAATGGAATATTCATTGTTACTGTCACTGGGTAAGATCTATAGAATGCACTAAATCCCTCCTCCTTAACAATGTTCTTTACACACTAAACTGCTGTCAAATGCGAGCATAACTAGAGTCTTTGCTTAATCACTAAATTCATAATGAATTAATACACGTAAATCATGCAGGAAAATTGAGAGACTTACTGTCACTAGGGGTTATGAAGAAATCATGTGCAAAAGTGGTTAATGCACCAATAATTGCAGTTTGCACAAACTCATACTGCTCGTTTTTAAAATTAAAGTACTGCTTAAGAAGCTCGTAGCATGTGAAATAAGATGCATGTGCCGGAATGCATCCACTGGCAATTACCTAAGCTCCCTTCCAAAATCTTAAGAATCCTTCCTCCTTATATAATATCTTTGCTGTTCGCATGAATGTTAGATTTCTATTGCTTGCTTATAAATGAGTCTAAACATAATAATTAGGAATACTGTCAGGATGTGTATAATTTGGAGAGTTTTCTTATGAATGTAAACTAACCTTTATAGTGTCGAGAGGAAACATTCCAACATGTTCCATGATTCCAGCGCAAGAACCTAATTGATATAAGATGAGGAAAGCATACCAGCTATTATATGTCTGTGGAAAGGTATTGATTCATGTCTGGTTTCCCAGTCCATGAAGCTATCGTCGTCTACTAGCACTTTCTATTACTCTGCCAGCATATTTACTAATATTAAATTATGCAAACCAGCAATCAAGAGCTGATAAAATATTATCTATCAATCATTTATTTACTTTAACCTTAATTTACCTTGCTTGAGTTTCAGTCTTAATTGACTTCATGGGGTTTTGGGGTTTTGGGG